GCCGCGAAGCAGCCTTAAGGATGCAAAGTAGGCGCGGGAGGGCTGTGCCAAGCCATAAAAAGTGGCGGAGAGGGCGGGAGCAGAGCTGGGCACTCGGGGGGAGCGGGGCGACAGGACGATGGCTTTGGCTGCGCTGCGGTGAGACACCCAGGGGACCATGAAGGGCAATGGCAGCGCTCTGCTCAATGCCTCGCAGCAGGCACCAGGCGGTGGGGAGGGTGGGCGGCCGCGGCCGTCGTGGCTGGCCTCTACACTGGCCTTCATCCTCATCTTCACCATCGTGGTGGACATCCTGGGCAACCTGCTGGTCATCCTGTCCGTGTACCGCAACAAGAAGCTCAGGAACGCAGGTAGGGGCTCCCGGCACCTGGCACCTCTCCCAGCTCTAGCCCTCTTGTGGGACACCGAGAAAAGTTCAGAAAGTCGGTTTCTGAGACTTGGGACTTTGGGTAATTTTTCCTTTTAGAGAATATGGGCTACCTTCTCTTTACCCCTTTCCTCTAAGATGCCTTGTCAGAGATCATCTGCAAGTCTTCAGTCCTTCGAGTTGGGAAGCCCTCAGATGTTTTCTGTTCCCTCCAGGAGCGCCTCTTTACGCTAGCTTTCTGATCCTCGGGTTCATTAGATAGGGTACCCGTTGAGTAAATTCCTCAAGACATCTTTTCAAATTAAATCAACGAACTCATCAGTTGTTTGGATTTGCATATAAATCAGTTTTCCCAACTTTGCTAAAATATGAGGAGATACATGAGCTGCCAAAATGACAGAGACGCTGATGCTGTTTTCTTGTCAGGTGCAGTTTTTTTCAGCTAATAGCATCACATTGCAGGGCGGAGGGGATGGCCCTAAGAATCCTGGGAAACGGGCAAAATGACTTTTACTCCTCAAGCCACAGGTCTGCATTTAGAAACAGACATTGTATCGAGGAGTGCATTTACATACAATGTAGGATGAGGCTTAATTCAGTGTTTGAGTTAAGTTTGGAGGGTTCCCTCAAACAATGAGGTGAACCAGTTTTCCTGGGTAAGAGCGGATCTGTAGGTTCTTCATGAGCTACTGCTTTTCATTTTTAAATGGTGTCAGTTGACTTGGTTTTCTGCTCCTTGTTTGGAAGTAAACTTTGGAAGAATGGTAGAGAAGAAGCCATTCTTTTAAATACTTGTCAAAAGTGGTAATTTTGTCCTCAAGTAGGTAGCTAGTGAAAACGCTAATTCAGGTAGAACATCTCTCCTCCCCCTTTGCCCTAACTTCCGAAATGGCTTCAGGCTGTGCAAAGTATTAAGAATTAGTTTGAAGTCATCTAATACTATGACTCCATTTGGCTTAGAAAATGGAATGACTTCCTTTCACAAGCGATGGGCTTTAAGTAGAATTCTGTCTTCAGAATTCAATAGCTCAGCGGTAGCATTTGCCCAGCATTGGTAAAGCCGTAGGTCTGGTCTTCAGCACTGCAATAAAGGGATAGCTGGGGGAGCGCACACCCTCCTGTAACCAGGGGCCGCTTTCTGCGGGATGCTTGTGGCTCTGAGCATCCCCACACAGAAAATTCTATGGTCAGTACAAGGGTGGGGTGTCAGACTTACCTACTTTACAGAGAGGGGCACATGATGCTCCGAGGCTCTGGGGTGGGAGGGATTGATTCTCGAAGCTTCCGGTGTAGCCCACCCATGCTGTTTCACTCGTGTCTGTAACTTACATGCGGGAAGTCTGAATGGCACAAGACCATTCCTCTTCGAGTTCCTAGTGGCTTCGAAAAAGTACTCGCTACTGTCTCCTACCGCTTTGGACTTCATCGGCTAAACAACTTCTTGAGAGGAGAGTCTATATATTGCATTCCCAAAGCTGTACGGAAGATCCAGGTGACCTTTAATCCACAAAGCATCCTATTTTTATAATTGGGCTATTTGCTAAAATACACCACTGTCGAGTTCAAACCATTTGAGGCTTAAAAATAAAATAAAATAGTGATTTGGACCAGAGCTAGAGGTAGCTGGTTCAATTATGTTGCTGGATGCTTACTAAAAGTTTTATTGATGCTAGGCATCACTGTGCACACCTTTATTCCCAGTACAAGGAAGGCAGAGGCAAGTGGGTCTCTGTGAGTTTGAGGCCAGCCTGGTCTACATAGTGAGTTCCAGGCAAACTGGGATTACATATGAGACCCTGTCTCAAAATAAATGTTTTAATGACTGCTCAATTTGTGTATTTGTTCAAAATTTTTGGTTGGTTTTTTTAAATGGGAAGATGATAAATAGGCTGGAGCGACGGCTTGGCAGTTAACAGCACTGTCTGCTCTTGGAGAAGACCCAGGTTTGGTTCCCAGCACTTACACGTGAGCTCACGTTCATCTGTACCTCCAGTTCCAGGGGACCCTACACACTCTCCAGCACCAGGCATGGATGAGCTGCACATACCCACACGGAGACAAACACCCATACATAAAAAATAAAAATACATAAATCTTTCTGAAAAGGGAAATAGAACAGAGAAAAGATAAGAATGCTAAAGCCCACAAACTTGCAAATACTTCTTTCCTTTGGAAATTTGATATAATTGCAGAATTTTTTTTTGGTTTTACGAGACAGGGTTTCTCTGTATTGTTTTGGAGGCTGTCGGTCCAGCCTGGCCTCGAACTCACAGAGATCTGCCTGCCTCTGCCTCCCAAGTGCTGGGATTAAAGGCGTGCGCCACCATCACCCGGCTCTGCAGAATTATTTTTTAACCTCTTCCTTTTCTCAAGAGACTAGGGTGGCTTTTGGTGTCTGGAGGGAGAAATCCCCAATATTTAATTACCTGAGGGGCTGACCAATCACAATAAGCACCATCTCCAAGCAGCCAATCAGTTGCTAAAGGTTAACTGACTGCTCTTTTCCTGTCCAAGTTTTGTTAATGAGAAACCATGCATCCCCAGTGGGTGTAACAAGGCAGAGAGATTCTGCAGTTATGTTCTCACTGCATACGTTCCAATCCAAGAGGTCATTTGCCATCCAGCCTCACTTCCCACGTTTGTCAGATAGGGATAACGCCTGAACTTCAGCCCCACACTATGCTGTGTTGTAACGGTTGCAAGTATCAAGCAAAAAGATGCCTATGAAAATATTTTGAAAAGAGATGGAGGAAGTAATGCTAGTCAGACATTTGGACTTGATTGTTTTGTTTTGTTTGGAGCAGCATTGCAGGCTCTGAATGAGTGCATTTTCTATATGTACAGTATACTTAAATAAAACTTTTCATAAAACACTGCAACGGCATCCTGCCTGTTCATAATTCAGGATATAAGAAAAGGTGAAACTTAACAAAATAGTAGGCTTTCGTGCATATAGAGTTGGGCTCTATAGAACTCAGAATTCTACAAAGTCGTCATGCTAGGGTCTGGGTACCCATGATTGTAAGGAACAAATGAGGGGAACATAGATGGCACTGTTCTGTAGCCCCACAGAGTCTTCAGAAGCCACCATCTTACTGTAAGTTCCAAGCCCCCTTGGAATTCAATGAGAATCAGACAGGGCTGTAACCAAGAGAGCAAGGAAAGGATTCAAGGAAAAGACAGACAATGGGGACTGAATTTCACGGCAGAGATGAGAAAACCACCCCAGTTATTTATGGAGCTGAAGGGCTGTCTTAAATTTTCTAGGAAGCAAACTCAAGTTGGAGAATTGGCTCTCGCAGTCATGCCGGTGCCTGACAGGAGGAACTCTAAGCCAGCAAGGAAAGCAGAATTGGGCAAAGGAGAAAGTAAGCAAGGATAGGAACTGGGGTACAGTCTAGCTTAGCTTAATCTACACCTGGGATCCTCTGGGTATAAATCCATCTACATCATTGCCATTGCTCAAGACTAGGCTTTCTGTCTTCCTGTATCAGATACTGATCACAGGGGCAGTCACTGGAGAACCGCTGTGAGTCTACAGATAAAGAGTGGTCCTCAGAAATTTCAGAGAGAAATGCGGCTTCTTGGCAAATGGGATCTGAGACAGGCATTCGCAACAACTCTCTCCCTTATAGGATGCCCCTCTCCACCATGATGTGAAGTCCAGGAGGGTTTACAGTGGGGCAGGGCTTCTGCAACCAGCATCATGAAGAGAGCACTCGGGCAAGAATAGGTTCTCTTCCTATTGTAACAATGTACAGATATTGGGAAGAGGTTAACGTAACAGCTTCATGTACCAAAGTCTAAAGCCAAGGTCCCAACACTGCTGTGTCAGACTGATGACCTCTCAAAGTGATGCAGAAGTACTTATCCAAAGGCAAGCCAGAGTCAGGCTTGCACAAGACGGATTGCTTTTAAGCAGCAAAAAGACTATTGAGCCCTAAGAATCTGGTCCGCAGTAGTACTCATGGAGCTGACTTCATGGAGGGGTTGCTTCACAGACTGCTTTATGAAAAGGACAGAGGACACCTCGTTCTCAGCTTTTGGGTCATGTAAAAAATTCTTTTGTGAGTCATGCTAACCCATAACTGTACAGGGAAGGAACTTCTGGGAACACAAAACACAATACAGCACCAAATCAGTATCCCCGTGGTGGCCTCTTGACAAGTAGATATTTCTTTCAGTATAAGGGTAACTTCCTAATAAAACAGATACCAAAACGATGCCCCTGCAAGACAAAATGTGACTGCTCTTCAGAAAATTGGAACACGCCAGCCTCATTCCCTAAGACAGTCATGCCTTTGTCCATCTTTACATGACTTTTATTATTTTTCTAACTGAATCACAGTCCCCATTTATACCCTGTAGTTTAATTACTGGAATACAGGCTTTGCTTCTACCACAAATTATATGGCAGGCCAATAGTAAAGGGAAGAGAAAACAGTAGTCGATAGGGTCACAATTAGCCATAGTAAACAAGAAATATTCATAATTATTTTAGTGCTCATCTCTGCAGTTGGTCTCATGGTCATTATAAGTATTTTTAAGTACATTTAATTCTCCACTTTTTCTTGTCTTTAAGATACATACTTTCAGGGACTTGTATAATGATAATCTGTCTTTCCTCTTGATAGCAAGATAGAGGACAGTAATAACCCCCTCCAATTGAGTCACTGAAATGAGGAGCCCAAAGTACATACATGTCAGACTCAGTTTCCAGTTCAATGAAACCATGGGCTCACACGCTGGTGAAAGAGTGTCTTCCTTAGAATTAAGCTGTTAGCCAATCAAGGCTGTCCAGACCTTTGACGTTGCAGCATGATGTTCTAATCCACGTAGGTGATGGGCCAGATTGATACTTTAGGATACATGGGGTCCATGGGCTGCAGGTTGGTTGGATGGACACGTCTGCAAGACCAAGAGAACCTAAAGTTGCAAAGGCAGAAAACAGGAAGCAAACAGTTTAGTAAGGAGTTACTAGTGTGATTGTCAGAGGAAAAGCTATGACATCCTCCTTTGATTTTGTGACCAGTGAATCTTTGGTATAAGGTTAATAATACTATAGACTAATCACAGATTTAGCATTCATATCCCATCCTGTGGTATCCCATCCACAGGGTGACCCAGTTTTTTTTAATGAATCCTCAAAATCAATATTCTAAGGTGAGAAACAGCATATCCAGTGAATTCCAAAAGCACGCCCCTACTGTTGTACAATAAATTCCTTAGTAGTATGCCTTGAGAAATTCCATCATGGTGGACAGAGGTATCCTATAAGGGATACCATTCAGTGTCTAGAATTCCCTTTTATTTAAGTCAGAACAAAATATCCCACGTCTGTAATCCCAGGAAGAAGACCAGAGACAGTGCTCTTCTAGGTGGGGGAAGGAGAAGTATCAGTGCTCAGCTAGACAGATTTTTGCCTCCTCCAAAGGCAGAGATTTCCATGTTTGTTGGTTAACCTGTTTTCCCTCCATTTCTAGAATGTCTCCCAAAGAGAGTATGTGTTCCTCATATTTGTATCTCAGACAGAACCCACAGGGACTTTTCCTGGGTTTGATCATGTAAACTACATTGTTACCTCCAGACATTTGAAACAAAATAAACTTTGTACTAAAAGTTCCTGTTTTTTTAGTTACAATAAAAGAAATAAGATAAAAAGCAGTAATGACATAAGAAATGCACAGAAAGTTTTCAGGAAAAATTGCTATAAAAGCAAATTCTTTGTGTGCTTGTTTGTGGTACATGCATATATATGTTTGTATGTGTTACATACGTGCATGCATATGCATGCATGTGTGTACATATATGTACAAATGTACAGTACATATCTGTGCATGTGTGTATATAGACCACAGGTAGACATTGGATAGCTTTATTAGTTACTCTCTACCTTAGTTTTTGTGTCACAGTATCCCAGTGTACCCCAAGTTTGCTGATTTTGGCTAGGTGGGATGCTGTATCTCCACTCTTCCAGCATCAGGACCATGGGTGTATGTAGCCATGCATAGCATTTTACAGGGGTGTGGGAGTATTAGCTCAGGTCCTCTGCTTGTGCAACAATCACTGGACCCCTTGCCCCATCGCCCTAGATTCTGTAAAAGTTCATGAAAAGCTGGTGATTAGTCCAAACAAAAGGTGTAATGACAAAATATTTTTCCCTACAGATAATTTTAAATTACAAGTGAAATGGTTAAATTCTGGAGTCAGTCCATTTTAGCTCAAAATGTTTAATAGTTTAAAATGATGTGTAATGTATAAAACAGCTACGTGCTAACATAGCATCCAAGCAGTACATTTAAAGCCAGGATAGCAGGTAGTATAATGGCTTACTGTAGACTTATTCTTAAAGAGCTTAAAATTCAAACCACAGACAACATCATGGCTTTGATTCTTCATGTCTTTTACAGCAATTATACTTCATTACTATTCAGTTAACTACATTAATTAAATCATGAGTTTAATTTTCTTTGGATTGATCTCATTTTACAAATGTTTGGAGAGATCCTATGTAGATGTGTTTATCAGGTGGCTTTGTCCCCTCCTGCTGCAATATTTGCTTGTGTTATATTTAGGGGAGTTGGGGAGGGGAATTTCTTTCTTCCTTCTTTTTTCCTTCCTTTCTTTTTTCTTTCTTCCTTTATTTCACTTAAGGACACTACTAGGTAAGAGCACTGTATCATTTTGTCATAATTATTGACATTTTAAGACCATGTGTTCTTCTGGGAGGTTGGAGGTGGATATGGAGCGTGTGTGTTGGTATGTGCACGTATGTGGGGAGTGCAGGTGTGTGTGCATGCTTCTGGAGGCAAACGATGTTGCTGAGCATCTTCCTCCGATGGTTTCTTCCTTAGTTTTGAACCAAGGTTTCTCCCAATCCTAGAGCTCATCTGTTGGTTAAGGCGGACGGGCAGTGAGACCTGTCTTCCCATCACTGTGTCTACAGTTATGTGCTACCATGCCTCACTTTTTACATGGGTGCTGGGGATCCAAACTTGGGTCCTTATACTTGTGTGTCAAGCGTTTTACCACCTGAGATGTTTCTCTATCCCTTGAGGTCACGTATTCTATTCTCAACCCTGTGGCATTCCACAAAGGGTAGCATTCTATCCATTTCTACCGGATAATATCAAGCTTGCTCTTGATTCCCTGATGCTTTTATCTTCCTGTCTGTTCCTACTCAGTTCCCCAGAACCCTTTACATGCAGTCGCTAAGTCCCTATTGGATGAAATGTACTATAGCATTTCCATTCCAAGTTAAATGCAGTACAAATAAAATAATTTTGGCATCTTCAAAGGGAGACCTGCTTATCTCCGGATGGACAAATAAGAAAAGGATGTCCATTTAGGATGGGCTTGAAAAAATTAGTAAAAAAATTTCAAAACTGGATCAAGGAGTAATTCAAAAGAGAAGGGATATTAAGAAATTAAGCTTTTTTGAGCCACAAAAATAAAAGATTATATTGGTAGAACATAAAAATCAGTTAAAGTCTCTTTTCTATATACTGAAAATGTGTTCTGTTATCAAATTAGGACAGAAGGTTACCACTTATTCTGAATATATGGGGTTTAATGTTTTAATCTTGTTATTCATAAATACACGAGAATGTCTTTCCTTCTGTTTTGAGGGAGAAAGTTGCAGAACATAATTTAACTTTCACATGAGTTGGAGACGGTACACAGTGTTTTACATAACTACCTTGTCTAAGGCTCACTTGACACTAGGAGGGAATACACTATGAAAACTCTCTATGTCATAGGAGAAGGAATGGAACCTTGGCAAAGTGAAGTACCTCTGTTCAGTTCCATAGCTAGTGTGATGACACCACTATCCAAACCAGACACTGATTGTGGATCCCTTTTCTGTTAGGACAAAGATGTATGGCCCTCCAACACAAGAAGCTAGAGGCCCTTTAAAAGCTGTGGAAGAACCAGAGAGGTCAGAGATCTGTAATTTAAGGAATAGATGGCCAACTTGGGTGATGTTAGACTTCTCAGGTGAGATCCCAAACAAAATACCACATGGACATGTAATGATCTTGAAACGTCACAAGAAGAGAAAATAGTCTGAAATTCCATGCTTTGAGAAATGGAATGCTCTGGAAATACAGAAATTCATAAAATAGGCTTGACTCAATAAAGGCAACATTGAAGCTTACTGGTGGTATTTATTTCATTTATTCACAACTGCCACATGGTTTCAGATCATCCAAGCTTTGAAAAGAGTTTGTCCACCCTCCCCCCACTCCCCCAGCTCCGCTCAACGCCGCCCCCCCCCCCCGTGTCCTTGGTCCATCTGCCTCTTCCTCCTCCCCTCCCTTCTTTTCTTTAGCACATGGAAATATATAGGGCATATAAATGGAAAGAGAGCACATATATTTGCATGTCTGTCTGTATGCATGCATGCATGTGTAAGTTCATGGGTGTTCAGATGGGGGTTGATGTCGGTGTCTTCTTCAATCACTCTACAACTTCATTTCTAAGGCAGGTTCTCTCAGTTGAACTCAGAGCTTGCTCTATTGCTAGTGTGGTTAGCTCGTGTCTCCATTTCACTGGGACTACAGACAGGCTCTCAAGCCCACGGGGCTTTTGGATGGGTCCTGAGAATTCAAAACCTAGTCCTCAAGCTTGCTCAGCCAGTTGTCTTGGCTGTCTTTCCAGTCCCCCTCTTTAACATATGCTTAAAGATGTGATGCATATAATACTGGTGTTAACATGTGTTCTATACATCTTTCTCTCTCAGGAAATATATTTGTGGTGAGCTTGGCTGCTGCAGACCTCGTGGTTGCTATTTACCCTTATCCTTTGGTGCTGACATCCATATTTAACAATGGATGGAATCTGGGATATCTGCACTGTCAAATTAGTGCATTTCTGATGGGTTTGAGTGTCATTGGCTCAATATTCAACATTACCGGGATCGCCATTAACCGCTACTGCTACATTTGCCACAGTCTCAAGTACGACCGACTCTACAGTAACAAGAATTCCCTCTGCTACGTGTTCCTGATATGGGTGTTGACGCTAGTCGCCATCATGCCCAACCTGCAAACCGGAACTCTCCAGTATGATCCCCGGATCTACTCCTGTACCTTCACACAGTCTGTCAGCTCGGTGTACACGATAGCAGTGGTGGTTTTCCATTTCATCGTGCCTATGATTATCGTCATCTTCTGCTACTTAAGAATCTGGATCCTGGTTCTTCAGGTCCGACGGAGGGTGAAACCCGACAGCAAACCCAGACTGAAGCCACAGGACTTCAGGAACTTTGTCACCATGTTCGTTGTTTTTGTACTTTTTGCTATTTGCTGGGCCCCGCTCAATTTCATCGGGCTCATTGTGGCTTCAGACCCTGCCACCATGGTCCCCAGGATCCCAGAGTGGCTGTTCGTGGCTAGTTACTATATGGCATATTTCAACAGCTGCCTCAATGCAATCATATATGGACTCCTGAACCAGAATTTCAGACAGGAATACAAAAGAATTATCGTCTCATTGTTCACAGCCAAGATGTTCTTTGTGGACAGCTCAAACGATGCGGCAGATAAGATTAAATGTAAGCCTGCTCCACTCATAGCCAATAATAATTTAATAAAGGTGGACTCTGTTTAAAAAGCCAGTGGTGCTAGCAAATTATCCACACTGGTTGGTGGGGGGGGGGTCTTACTGCCTTCTGTGTTTGCTTTCTCCTGTCTAGAAACCAGCAGTCCAACCAGAAGTTCTTTAGGGTTGCCTCTGTTAGTAGTGGAACTGACCCCACTGTCTGCTTTATAATAGAATCTAGAGAGAGTTCTGCCTATCAAGGGGAATACTGACCATGAACAGTCATGTGTTAAATGAACCTGTATCAGTGGAGGAGACTGAAGCAAATGTAAAATGAATTCAATAAAAGAGAGACTGTGGGAACTTTTATTGTAAACAAGTGACAAAAATGCAGTACAGGTGTCCCTTCTTACCTGTGGTTGAATTAAAATAATCACAAAAACTTCACCTGTGTTGAGCATGAACCTATTTCTCTTTCTTGTCACAATCCCCTAAACAATATAGTATAATATTTATAATGTACTAAGCATTACATGTAACCCAGCAAGGATATAATGTACTAGGTGTGTAAGGAATATGGGTCAGTTATATACAAATACTGCCTCAATTGTATTTAAGTTATTTGGGCATCTTCAGGTTTTCATATGCTTGGTGTTGGGGATGTTGGAACTAGTCCACAATAGATACCAAGGGATAACTATAATTTCTTTCTCCTCACATCTTCAAAAAGATCTCCAACAGGGAAAAGATTAGTTTGTTTCATTTGTAAATAAGTGAGTGGAACGCAAATGGAATGTGAGAGAAAAGACTCTTATTAAACAGTGAAAAGACGAACATGAATCTACGAAAGACCCCACAGCAATAGCAACAACCATAGACCATAGTCACCAGCACACACCATTCAGCTGGCAGTCTCACAGTATTGGGCACCTCTATCTATAATCCAAATAGTTGCCACCCTGCACTATGCTGCAGGGGTCCGCAGACCAGAACTACCATACCACCAGGCTCTGTCCAGATGTCAGTTATTGTGATGTCTGAAGGCACTAGCTAAGTGCAACGTTTTATTCACCTTTATCAGGCATGTGACCTAGTGTTCTGTCACCACTTTGTATTTCTGTTGATTGACTGGATTATCTGCACTGTTCGTTGAAAAATGAAGGGTTCAGGAGAACTTAGGTACAGTACAGCAAGTGCTCTAGACTGATGATCTGATTCCATAAGTGAATACTTTAAACCAAAGAGATCTTACCTGACAGAAAGTGCAAAACCAATACTCTTCAATAATTCACTTTTGTTTGTTCCAACAAGATTTTAAGTGTTGGAATGAAAATCAACAAAAACAAACTACACTTGTTTGAAAGCACTCTGGCTTTATAAATGCTGGCTATACTTTATCCCAGAGGTTTGCTAGGGACTGCTGTAGTGTTGCATAGAATGCAACAGACTTTAGGTATGTTTTCCTTCATTTTAAATACCTGTAACAAAACTCTCTCATAAAGCATAAGTTGATGGCTGTGAACTCTCTCTCTCTCTCTCTCTCTCTCTCTCTCTCTCTCTCACACACACACACACACACACACAAGCAGGGCAAAAGCATATTTTGATAAACTTGCTGTTATTTGTATATCTATATAGAATTTCCTTGGAAATGTTAGAGATTACAGCGTGAGACCCCTCTGAGGAGTCTTGTCCTCAGACAAATTTAGGAAATACCTAATTATGTTGGAGGCAGTTGTTGTTGAGGTATACATACCCCCAATTTTTAAAGACCTTTTACAAATTAGTTTAAATGATGTGAATGTGTGTGTTCCGTTTGGATGCATGTGCACCTGAGTGCAAGTGCCTTCAAAGGACGGAGACACTGGGTTCCACTGAAGTAGAAGACACAGGCAGTTCAAAGCCACATGCTAGAAACCAAACTGGAGTTCACTGCCAGGAAATCGCATGCTCTGAACTGCCTAGCCATCTCTCCACCCACGGCAAACACACGTTTTCTCTCCCAAATGCTAACCGATTGTTTTATGTCCAAAATTTCTACTTCTTACCCAAATAAAATATCAGCATACCACAAATTCTACATGTACACCACACTCTGAACAATTGAGCTAACTGGCCCATTACTATATTAAGTGTCTTCATTATAACATAAAAGAACACCATCGTTTGCTCAGAGATGACTTAATAGGCACTACAGATTGAGGGGGATAATTTCATTTTCCCAATTGCATATTTTGTTACTAAATATGTACATGTGTGCGTATGTGTAAATAATTTACATGTCTAAGCAATGGCATTTTCCCCCAATATATCTTCAGACTTTTATGTATTCTTGGCAGATATTGGATAAGGTAATCGATCTTAAATATTAAATTCATAATTGCTTATTGAATAAGCACACTCATTCTGAATGTCATAATAAATAATAGTTTTGATTACTTCTTGGACTACCTCTGATGCTGCCACCAAATATTTTACAGTGAACAAGCAGACCCATTTGGAATGTAGTAGGTATATTTTTAGTCAGTTTAAAACAGCCAATTATTATATATTATGAGTTTCCTGAGCTTAATAATCTTGTGTGTGTGTGTGTGTGTGTGTGTGTGTGTGTGTGTGTTATGTGTATTTGTGTTACTGGGGATTAAACCCAGGGCCTTGCAAGTTTCAGGCAAACACAGACTACCTATGTTCCCAGCACCCCTTTTGTTATTTTGACAGGGTCTCACTAAATTGCCCAGACTGGACTTGAGCCTACTATATAACCTAATCTGTCTTTGAACTTGTGAATACTTCAGAGTTAGCCTCCAGGGTAGCTAGAGTTAGGTAGCAGCACCATCATTGGCTAGTCCCATAACTTTTACGCAACTTTTTCCTTTAAAAAATAACTAACAAAATTTCTTCTTCTATCCTACTTTTACTCTCTTTGACTTTTATGTTTGAGAACAATTTCCTGTACAGTGAAATTGCTGTATTCTCTGTGTTTTTTTGCTGTTGGTCACAGACTATTGGAAAGCTGTGTGGTATATTCCCGAAAATTTACAGGAAAAATGCAAGTGGCTGTATTTGCCCTCAATATTTACATTGATAATAAGAGAGTGCTTATTTTATCAAAGGACAAAAACTAATGGTAAGCCAACGCTTGGTATGTTTGTATACATATAGGTTCATATTGTGTGTATCACCCAGCTAACTGCTTTTTGTCTAATTTGTAATGTTGGTGATGTTGAGGGATATGAATGGTTTCAACAACTTTGAAGAGTCAGGGATTATTTGGATGCTGAGCTATATTGTTAATAATGGTAAAACAATGGCATATTTCTAGGAAATGGCACCTCTATTATGAGGACACCTTTCTGTGTACTCCATTCAGGAAGTCTACAAATACAATGCTCATTAAATCCCATTCATTACTATTGCTTTAAATACAATGCTCATTAAAAACGCCCTCATTACTATCGCTTTAGACAATGGTCATGTCTTTTCCTGTTGTCAATCTGGTGCTCCAGTTTCTGAGCGAACTCTCACGTTTCAGTGTTTGGTGTGATTTTACCTAATTTAGTAACATGAAATAAAGAAACTGTTTTGAATGACACAAAATTCGAGGTGCCTTTCATTTCTGTGATGGTCAACAAACCCCCAAGACTCCAGAGATTTGGTGTACCAAAGGATAAATGCCAGATGAGCCTCAGAGTTTATGATGCAGGACTAATCATGTCAATGAGTGCATTTGCAGGTAGGGAATAACTAGTAGAGTTTTTTCATTAACTGTGGCCATTGAGCTGTAGGGTCCATGTTTAGTTCAATAATGTTTAGATAATCTGAAGTAACTCAATATGCAGTGTTAATCTGAGTTCTGTTATTAGTTTGTTCTTGCAACTGTTTTCTTGTAGTCTGTGTACATTTGAATAAAACCTAAGTAAGTTCTTTAATACTAAATCTATATTTCTGAAAATACGCCCATTGTCTTATTGTGTGTTTTTACTTCTTTTTACTTATGCATGTACCCTGTCACTGTCAAGGATGAATTATAGTTCAATTATTAATGGCATATTTTTATAAAAGCTACATATACAAGTTTGCATGTGTAAAGATGAATATGATTTCTTTTTGTTTGTTTGTTTGTTTTCGAGACAGGGTTTCTCTATGTAGCTTTGGAGACTGTCCTGGAACTAGCTCTGTAGATCAGGCTGGCTTGGAACTCACAGAAATCCACCTGCCTCTGCCTCCCAAGTGCTGGGATGAATATGATTTCTTATTACTTTCAAGTGTTCCGTTTGTCTTCTATTATCTGCTAGCAATTAAAAGATGATTGAGAATGGAGGTTGGTTATTTCTGCTGTTCTCAGTAGACATTTGTCAACTTCTTGTCTCAGCATGAGGGGAAGCCAGGGAAATAAAGGACCTGTGGTGGTTGGTTTTATGTCAAGTTGACAGAAGCTAGAGTCATTCAAGAGCAAAGAGCCTCAATTGAGAAAATACCTCTGTAAGATCGGGATAGAGGCAAGCTCGTGTGGCATTTTCTTAGTTATTGATGGAAGAGGGCCCAGCCCTCTGTGGGTGGGGCCACCCCTATGCTGGTAGTCCTGGGTTCTGTAAGAAAGCAAGATGAGCAAGCCAAGAAGAGCAAGTCAGTAAGAAGCACTCATTCACAGCCTTTGCATCAACCCCTGCCTCTTTGTTCCTGCACTTTTTGAGTTCCTGCCCTGACTTCCTTCAATAATGGACTGTGATCTGGAAATGTAAGCAAAATTAACCCTTTACTCCCCAACTTGTTTTTGGATAGGGTGTTTCATCAGAGAAATAGTAACCCTAACTAGAACAGACCCTCCCTCCCAAAGCATTGGGGGAATCTTGGCCTTTCATGCCTGATCTCCAGTATGTCACTGTAGGGGCTTTGAGGTCTCAGATATACTCAAGTCACAGCCAGCATCACAGTCTCCTTCTGCTGCCTGCAAATCAAGGTGTAGAACTCTTAGCTTCTTCTCCAGCACCACGTCTGCCTGCATGTGACCTGCAATGGTGACACTCTGAAACTGTAAGCCAGCCCTAAACAAACGTTTTCCTTTATGACTTGTCATGGTCACAGTGTCT